TGTTGGGTTTGAACCCAATAGCTACTGGGTTCCAACGACTGGAAACCACGTGTGCAAACCTAGTGGCTGTTGGGTTCCAACTACTGGAACCTAGGCGTATTGGGTTCAAACCCAGCGGCTATTGGGTTCCAGTGGTTGGAACCCACGCGTCCATGTGTTCAAACACAACGGCTGTTAGGTTTGAACATGTGGGTTCCAACTACTAGAACCCGGTGTCCTAGGTTTGAACCCAATCATCGTTGAAACCCTAGCATTCGCAAACCCAACACGCCTAGGTTCTAACAGCTGAAACCCATAGGTTCAAACCCAACAGTTAGATCCCATGTGTGCTGGGTTTGAACGCTGGGTTCAAAAAAGCCTAGAACCCCAAGGGGAAAGAGAAAGTGAAAGAAAAGGAAAAAAAAAATTAAGATATTTTTTTGTCATATCAATATTTTTTTGCCATATCATTATTTTTGTTCATATCAGCGATGTTATCTTTCCACGTGTGCTTAATACTTTGACATGTCATTATATTGTCATTAATTAACATGACATGTCACATGATTTTTAATGAAAGGATCAAGTTGGAGTAAAATTGGTAAACAGTAGGGACCACCAAATCAAGGATGTTTTCAATTTAGGGACCAAATCAGGGATCCGTACAATAGTTGAGGGACCAAAAGGGGGTTTAACGAAAATAAAAATATTTGTACCATATTTGGCATTTTTCAAAAGTTTCCCCCCGCCGGGTCATATGCTGGCTCCTTCCGCGACCATTGCCATTCTGCATCAATCCCATCCTCATGGAGAAGGAATATGGAACAAGGGCCATATATAAATCTTGCTTTTTTGGGTTTTCCACATATAGTTCTTTCCCTTTCCATCAAGGAATTAACTCTGTTAGTGACTTGAAGTAAGCTCCACTTCAATATAGATGCCATTTTAATTTGTTATTGTTATAATTCAAATATTTGTCAAAAAGAAAACATATTTTAATTACATAAAGAATAAATTAAATTTTATCTTAAAATTATTTTAATTTGCCTTACTTTCTATGTTTCAGGACTCAATCGTGAAAATGAACGAAGTTTGGGTTGAAATTTTGAAGGAAAATGGCAAAATCAAACTTATGTGAAGAAATTTGCAAAGCAAGGAATCAAATAGGGAAGAGCATTAGATACGGGTATATCTGTTACTTTTAAGTACTTTATTTATCTGGGTAAGTATCTTACTTAAATTACAAAAAAACTACGTAAATAATGAATATTAAAAATATATATTAGTAAGCATCAAGTCAAATGACAAGTATAAGAGTTTATAATTGTTTACTCAATTTGTTAACCATTTTATTTAACTAATATATTACCTATACTTATAAAATTGAAAATTTATATATACTTATTATACTTAATATCTATATAATAACAATAATTTTTAAAAATAAAAATATAAAATACAAAAAAAATAAAAGAAATCATATGCATATCTATAAATAACAAACCCTAAACCAAACACATATCACACATGTAGTCAATAGCTTTTTTTCCTTCCTTGCACTCTTAGACAATGGTGAGTACTTATAATTTCAAATTTTGATTCATTTTAGCTTTCTTTTTACTTTTCTATATATTAGTAACTTTCAAGCCATAGTCATTGTTTATTGTATAGATGACTTTTTAGCATCAAATTCCAAATTTAATATGATAAGAATCATAAATTAAAAATATAAATATCAAGATGTTAAAATAAATATAATAAAATTAGTTACTATCCCTTTCTAACAAACTGAAGTAGAGAATTAAGGGGATTATAAGTCTAAAAACCTAGACACCTTCTTTAAAGAACTTTCATTTCGTTATCCAATTTATTTTTATTCTTTATTTTTGGGTACATATATTTTGCTCTTTATTGTTAATTATTTAATTGAGTTTAGTTTTTTAATAGCATATAAATTTAAGTTCTGGACATGAAACTAAATTTTAATTCTTTATTGTTATTTTAGATTATATTTAAGTTTAGATTGTAACAAACAATATTTTATTAAATTTTACTAATTTTATTTAAGTTTAAATTGAAAGCAAATAATATTTTATTAAATTTTAATTTTAAAAAATTTAAACAAAATATAATTCAATAAATACATAAACATATACTTGAAATTATCTAGTACTTATTAGGTTAAGTACTAAATATAAATCT